TCAGCCAGCCTCCATTTTGTTTGTTAGATTTAAGCCAGGGGTCTTCAAACTCGGCCCTTTTATGACTCATGGACTTCAACTCCCAGAATTCCTCAGCCAGCCTCCATTTTGTTTGTTAGATTTAAGACAGGGGTCCTCAAACGTGGCCCATTTATGACTGAGGAATTCTGGGAGTTGAAGTCCACGAGTCATAAAAGGGCCGAGTTTGAACACCCCTGCTTCATGAGGTGACGTCGCCATCCGAATGTTGACTTTCCTCATTTTGCACAACACAGATCCCAAATCTTGAACTAGAACCTTATTTTGTTTGACGCAGACACGAGTGAATTTTTTATATTCCTCTCCCTTCCTCTCAGGGAAAAGCACTGTGGGGAGAAGTGATCAGGCAGGGCCCCCCCAGAAACTCCCCTGAGATATTAAAAAATAATAATAATAATCTCATTTGGCCAGGCGGTCGCGGTGAAACAATCTCCCTTGAGTGCCATCAGGAGCTCTGTCCATTTAAATGCTAATTTTCACCTCTAACCCGAGACCTCTCTAAAGAAAAGGTGATTTTCTCGACTTAATCATGATCAGCCGTCTTCTCTGGGGAGGGAAAAAAAAATAGATTTGATAATTTACACAGTTTCTTAATCTCCAAACCTCAATATAAGTAATTCACCACCTATGGCCTTGGTTTCTCCCTATTTATTACCCCAGTTTTCTCTGTATCCTTCTGTCTGTCTCCTCCTCTTCCTGCATAAATCTGACTTTTGGTTTCTTTTCGGTTCTTTTTTTCTTTTCGTTTTAAATAGAAAAACACCCGTTTTCAAATAAATGTAATTTCGCATTGAGAAAAAGAAAGAAAACAACCTTTTTTTCAGTAGGATTGCAGCGTGTCTGACAGCCAGCCAGGAAATTATCCTGCTTTTTTTTTTTTTAAAGGAAAAAAAGAGAGAGATTTGGAAGCGATGAGCTGTGTTATCTTTGGCATGCCTTCCCTCTATGATTATTCCATTAAAATCTGCTGCTCAAATCATACGTTTTTCTCTACCCTGATCTTCCAAGATCCTCTTCTCGGAAAAACAATAATTGTGCTTTACTTTCCAGGCGCATTCAAGACGCCAGTAAGCATCACGACGTAATTGTTCATTTGTTTTCCTCTTAAAAATATAATTTCCTGGTTCAGGCGGTCCAAATCACGGTTCTTCCTATTGGCCAAATGGTTGCTGATTCTTTAACTCCAGCACACGCTGCCTCGTAGCCAGGTTTCAGGGATAATAATTTATTTAATAAGCTGATATAGCTACCCCATCTATCAGAAGGAATTCTGGGGGGTGAAGAAGAATCAAAACTCTAAGGCACCAGGATAAGCGGATGTTGGAGTCCCACGAATTTTATGATCCAATGGATTGGTAATTGTGGGTCAGGCACCTGAGTGGTTTTTGGTTTTTGTTTTAATGTTTGTGTGTTTGTAGCTCAGGTGTTGAGGTTTGGGGTCCTCGGTGCTCTCTGAGCTGGGTGGTTTCCTTGCAGACATTTTATAACCAAAATAGGTAGTCTCATCAGTGCTAGAAGGGAGGGGGGTTTGTGGACAGGAGGAGGAGGAGGAGGAGGAGGATGAACTGTGGTGTCCTTGGTGCTCCCTGAGCTGGGTAGTTTTCTTGCAGACGTTTCATGACCCAACTAGGGAACATCATCAGTGCTACCATAGAAAGGAATGGGATTTGCATATAAGAGGAGAAGGAGGAGGATGGCTGTGGGGTTTTTGCTGCTCTCTGGGAGGAGGAGGAGGAGGAGGAGGAGGAGGACGACAACGACAACGACAACGATGACTGTGGGGTCCTTGGTGCTCTCTGAGTTGGGTGGTTTTCTTGCAGACGTTTCATGACCCAACCGGGTAACATCATCAGTGCTAGAAGGAATTGGCGTTTGTGGGGAGGAGGAGGGGGAGGAAGAGAGAGAGGAAGGGAAGAAGGGCAGTTACAACTGTGGGGTCCTTGGTGCTCTCCGGGCTTGGTTGCTTTCTTACAGACGTTTCATGACCCAACTAGGTAACATCATCAGTGCTAGGTGGTGTTTGCTCTGTCAGTTCTTGATGATCCCTTGATTAGTCTACACTTTACAATTTGATTCTTTGTCTGAACCAATAGTTCCTTGATTAGGGTATTGCTTTCCTTGATTGTTGCTCTGGTGTTAACCTTGGTGTTAATTTCTGCTCATCTGGGTGTTGGTTGCTGGCGAGGGGGTGTTTTGGTCTTTCTGTTTCCTGTTTGGTTTTTTTGATGGTCTTTTTTTTGAACGGTGGGTAGATGTCGTTTATCTCTCTGTGCCTGTTGATGGCTCATGTGTCTTGAGGCTTCCAGGAATTCTCCAGTGTTTTTGGACTCAGTTTCCCACTGAAACTATGATGAAGTCTGTCCATGCGTTGTGTCGTTAAGGAATTGTCATCAAGGCTTCTGACTGCTACTTGGTGTTCAAGGTTGCACGCCGCTCCCCTTCTGCCCGTTTGTCCTACGTGGCGGCTGTTTCTTGGTCTCCTGTTATAAGCTCCCCAAAGTTGGCACCTGCTACACGGTTACGTGACTGCAATTTGCCACGTTTCCCCCCCCCCAAAAAAAACAGAGTTTACTTCCAGTTTACGGCAAACTGGATGGGTTTTGTATGGTGTGTGTTTTTGTATGGGTGTGTTTTTAGAACAGGCCTGTTATTTAATTCGATTTTAGAACAGAAACTATTTATTTATTATCGTGGTTTTTAGTATCGCCTGTTCACCGCCCTGAGTCCCGTAAGGGAGATAGGGCGGTATATAAAATTAATAAATAAATAAATAAATAAATAAATAAATAAATAAATAAATAAATAAATAAATAAATAACAATCAGCCCATAGCAAACAGTGGATTCGCTAAACAGCAGCTGATTTAATTTACAACTGCTGCATTCAACTTACAACCGCTGGGAGAGGGGGAAGACATAAAACCAGGTCAATCACGCGATGATGACCTGCTTTGCAACTATCACAACACACCGTCTTAATTGCTAGGCTCAATTACAGTCGTAAGTCGAGGACTGTCTATATTGGGGCTCGTCCGAACCCTAGTGCCCCCTAGTGGTCAGGACCAGTAGCTACTGTGAGACAGCCAGTTTTACTGCAGCACAGACGGCAGGAAACGTGGCATGAATCAAGGTGAATGTTCCTGCCAAAATGTGTTTGCTGGCCTCTTTCCCCAAAACTAAGACCGGAATATTTCTGGCTGCCGGAGGGAGGCCAAACCTAGGAAAGACAGTGTGGGCTGACAGGGAGGATTTCACGAACTCGTCCATATTTCATTATTTGATAAGATCGGGAGACAGGGGCCGCATCGAATTGCTTAGGCAAAAAAACCCAGGAAGCCCTCCTGATCAATATTTATTAATACATTTCCCCGACAAGGGAGGCAAACACACACCCAGCCGAGCGCTTCATCAAACAAATCATTTCCCAAACATTTGCCCGACTGGCCAAAGGCAAGAATAGGCCAAGTGGAGGGAGTTTTCAATCGCAGCCAGCTCGAAAGGAACGCTGCTTCCTCCCTTTGATAATGGTGGTTTATTTTAATTAAAAATAATCTGATCTTCCCAGGACTGACAGATACTGTTAAGTCCTGAAGGGAGGGAGCTTGGCTTCTGGGCAAGGTAGAAGGCCAGCAGCTTGACCCAGAGTAGGGAGAGCCAGTCTTTTCTGAACTCAGACTCGGGGCTCTTCCAGCCAAGGACAATCTGTAGAGTTTGGAAAACCCTCTTCTCCCCCACGGCCGACCTTGGCTGCAGGGAGTGAGCAGAAAAGGAGATGTTTTGGACAGAAGGCTACTCTTTGTCCTTCCCGTCCCATCCTAATGCATCCCAACCCAACCCATCCCATTCCAACCCATCCCATCCCAACCCATTCCCTCTCATCCCAACCCAACCCATCCCATCCCAATGTATCCCAACCCAACTCATCCCAATGCATCCAATCCCAACTCATCCCATCCCAACCAAACCAAACCAAACTCATCGCAATGTATCCAATCCCAACCCATTCCCTCTCATCCCAACCCAAACCATCTCATCTCAATGCATCCCATCCCAACCCATTCCCTCCCAACCCAACTCATCCCAACCCAACTCATCCCAATGCATCCAATCCCAACCAAACTCATCCCAACCTATTCCAATGCATCCAATCCCAACTAAACTAAACTCACCCCAACCTATCTCAATGCATCCCATCCCAACCCAACTCATCCCAATGCAACCAATCCCAACCAAACTCATCCCAACCCAACCAAACTAAACTCATCCCAACCCAACTAAACCCATCCCAATGCATCCCATCCCATCCCTTCCCATTCCAACCCAACCCATTCCCTCTCATCCCAACCCAATCCAACTCATCCCAATGCATCCAATCCCAACTAAACTCACCCCAACCCATCTCAATGCATCCCATCCCAACCCAACCCAACTCATCCCAATGCATCCAATCCCAACCAAACTCATCCCAACCCAACCCAACTAAACTCATCCCAACCCAACCCACCCCATTGCATCCCATTCCAACCCAACCCATTCCCTCTCATCCCAACCCAACCCATCCCAACCCAATCTATCCCATCCCGCATTCCAACCCATCCCAATCCAATCCAACCCAACTCATCCCAATCCAACCCATCCCAACCAAATTCCTCCCATCCCATCTAAATGCATCCTATCCCAACCCATCCTATCCCAAACCCTTTCCTGTAGGAGACTGCTGTTCTTTTTTGCCCACCTTTCCTCCTCTTCACAAACCAAGGCCCCCTCTTAAACCTTCTCGGCTGAAGACCTCCTGGTCAAGGCGCGGGACATCCAAAGAGTCACCTCCTTCTGTAATAATTGCCTTACAGAAAAACCTGAAGGGGTGGAAAAAAGTAAAACAAAAACCCGAAAAGACCCTAGCAAGGAGTAGCGAGGTGATGATGATGATGACGCAAATTCTGGGTTTTTTTGTCTTCTCAGGCAGTACTACGAGATGCTCTACAACACGGCGGACGAGCTGCTGAACCTGGTGGTGGACCAAGGCGTGAAGTACACGGAGCTGGAGTACATCCACGCCCTGAGCTTACTCCACCGCAGCCAGACCGGCGTGGGAGACCAGACCACGCAAAACATGAGGTTGCAGCGCCTCAAGGAGATCATCTGCGAGCAGGCTGCCATTAAACAAGCCACCAAGGACAAGAAGATCACCACCGTGTAGTTTTGGCCTGCTAGTAACCAGAGGCAGCCATGTTTTCTTCACAGCCAATAGGAGCAGAGAAGGGAAAGGTCTCGATGGCAGGGGGTCTTCCAACTTGGCCCTTTGATGACTTGTGGACTTCAACTCCCAGAATTCCACGTGCCTGGCTGAGGAATTCTGGGAGTTGAAGTCCACAAGTCATAAAAGGGCCAAGTTGGAAGACCCCTGCTCTATAGGGTAATGTTTGGGCTTTTCAGTTAGCTTCTTTGCTGGGGTGGTGGGTGGGCACAGCGAATTGATTTTTTCTTTCTCTCTCTGTCTCTCTCTCCCCCCCCCAGAGTTTTCATCCTTTCTGGCTAACTTTAGATCATAGTTAGAACTTAGTCGCATCGTTTTGCTTTATTTTTTTGCATTGCACCCATTGGAAGAGGCTGGCTTGACTTGCTTTGTGCATATCTTCCCATCGGCGTGGTCTCAGGACCCGCCTCGCCAGGACGGATTGCCCGTGGCACCAGCAGAAGCCGAGATAATATGCTGGCATCCTTAAATCTGCGGCATATAAACTGGGATCGGTTGCAATCGATGGGGAGTTGCTTCTCTTGAGCTCTGAAGGGTGGGGAAGCTTGTCTGTTCGATCCAGAGGGATCTGAACTGGAGGAAAGCCGCCACCACGACCTCTATCCAAAACCACGATGTGGCCAATGACATTTGAAGGAATCTAGATCAGGGGTCTTCCAACTTGGCCCTTTGATGACGTGTGGACTTCAACTCCCAGAATTCCTCAGACAGCGTGCCTGGCTGAGGAATTCTGGGAGTTGAAGTCCACAAGTCATTAAAGGGCCAAGTTGGAAGACTCCTTGTGGACTTCAACTCCCAGAATTCCTCAGCCAGGCACGCTGGCTGAGGAATTCTGGGAGTTGAAGTCCACAAGTCATCAAAGGGCCAAGTTGGAAGACCCCCTTGACTTGTGGACTTCAACTCCCAGAATTCCTCAGCCAGCATGCATGTTGACTGAGGAATTCTGGGAGTTGAAGTCCACAAGTCACAAAAGGACCAAGTTGGAAGACCCGTGATCTAGATGGATGTCGGGGAGAAATTCCCAGGTGTTCATTTTGCAGGATCTCATCGTGGCTAGTTCAGATCTGATGATGCTCCCTTCTGCCTACTGGGGGGGGGGGAATTGGGATCAAGCAAGAGCCTGATTTTGAGAATTCAGTGGGTTTCCCCCCCCCCTTGCTTTATTATAAACATTTTCGAGGATGTGAAGGGAGCAGCAACTTTTGATTGTCGGAAAGTTCCCCCTGTCATTTGTCTGCCTCACGCCTCCCTCGGGAAGCAAAAATGGCTTTCTCCGATCCGATCTGATTCCCAGGTTTTCCATCCGTCCCCTCCTTGCCTTACTTTCCTCTTGGTGCAACTGGAACATTAAAAGATAATTCTGGAACTCTTCAAGCGTGCGAGTTTTGATCCTGCGACCGTGGGGATGCCGCAGTGTAAGGGTGAAAAATGATCATCGGTCACTTTTTTTTTTCAGTGCTGTTTTATCTCTTTCTCTCTTCCATTCCCTTCTTTCCTTCTCTCCTTTCTTTCCTTCCTTCCT